CACACTATATCCACAACATGGCCAGATCTCACACTATATCTACAACATGGCCAGATCTCACACTATATCCACAACATGGCCACATCCCACACTATATCCACAACATGGCCACATCTCACACTATATCCACAACATGGCCACATCTCACACTATATCCACAACATGGCCACATCTCACACTATATCCACAACATGGCCACATCTCACACTATATCCACAACATGGCCACATCCCACACTATATCCACAACATGGCCACATCTCACACTATATCCACAACATGGCCACATCCCACACTATATCCACAACATGGCCACATTCCACGCTATACCCACAACATGGCCACATCTCACACTATACCCACAACATGGCCAGATCTCACACTATATCCACAACATGGCCAGATCTCACACTATATCCACAACATGGCCACATCTCACACTATATCCACAACATGGCCACATCTCACACTATATCCACAACATGGCCACATCCCACACTATATCCACAACATGGCCACATCTCACACTATATCCACAACATGGCCACATCTCACCCTATATCCACAACATGGCCACATCTCACACTATATCCACAACATGGCCACATCTCACACTATATCCACAACATGGCCACATCTCACACTATATCCACAACATGGCCACATCCCACACTATATCCACAACATGGCCACATCTCACACTATATCCACAACATGGCCACATCCCACACTATATCCACAACATGGCCAGATCTCACACTATACCCACAACATGGCCACATCCCACGCTATACCCACAACATGGCCATATCTCACACTATATCCACAACATTGCCACATTCCACACTATATCCACAACATGGCCACATCCCACGCTATACCCACAACATGGCCATATCTCACACTATACCCACAACATGGCCAGATCTCACCCTATATCCACAACATGGCCACATCTCACACTATATCCACAACATGGCCACATCCCACACTATATCCACAACATGGCCACATCCCACACTATACCCACAACATGGCCAGATCTCACACTATACCCACAACATGGCCAGATCTCACCCTATATCCACAACATTGCCACATCTCACACTATATCCACAATATGGCCACATCCCACGCTATACCCACAACATGGCCTCATCCCACACTTATAGCTATATCATACATGATTATCCTGATAATACAGCCACTTCCTACCTGATAATACAGCTACATCTAACCTGAACTACTTGAATGGCCATCATTTTTTTTTTTTTTTTTTAACAACCAACAAGTCATCTCCAATGTGTAATATGGCTGGGACGGCCTGCCCTGGGTGACTTGTTTATGAAACATATATATATATTAATATAGAGACATCACTGGATTCAGATCAATGTCTAAATTATTTTTTAAACAAGACGGGGAAATGGCGTTACTGACCATTGTTCTTTGTGACTTGTGTTTGTTTCTTGGACTGGTCAGCTGGAACGCCGAAAATCTCAACAGAAACCAAAGAGTCGGCGGTATTACTGACAGACAGACTGCATGGCGGCAGCAAGAACCCACTGATAATCTGCAAAATACGGAATCCAGCCCATCTGTCAACATACATCGATATCACTCCCCGAGTACAGGAAATTTAATAAAACTAAGGATTTTCTGCAGAAATCCACAGTGATAAGAAAGTGTTTATTGAACAAACAATAAAATATGTTGCAATACAAAACTCAACTCCCACTAAAATAGTCCAGACAATCGTCCATTTATAACATCATTTGACTGTCGTTCCCTAAATGTTGTATTGTCTTTTTCAGGTGGGTCAATTCACTAAGTGATAAATAAACCCTGGAGAATTAGCAATGTATGTTTAATGTGCGTATTGTGGCCTGTGATAAATGAATTAGGAAACCCTGTGAGCGCGGACATTGAATTGTATAATAAATAGCCGAACCCCATGATTAAACCTGGATTGAATCTCTCCGCAGTCCTGAACAGTGACATTTCTTTTATTTGTAAGAAGCTCGTTATTTGTTTTTATAGAAGCCATCAAATAAATAAAATAATTTAAAAATATAATTTCCATTTTCCCGGACCTTCCCCCATCGCACACCATTTAGCCAGATATTTATTGGGGGTTCAGTGTCACGGGCACAAGTGTTTGTGAAATATCAGTCTATGATTGCTTAAAGCGTGACACATTATATATCATTATATATTATATCGCCCTGCTGTTCCTCCTCCACCTACTAAATTGACCGCCTCAGACTTTGCAACTCACTTTACTGACAAGATCTCTACAATCAGGGAGGAGATCTCTCATCTTTCTTCTTCCCCTTACAATTTTTCCCCTAACATCACTCCCTCTGCTGTTCTATGTTCAGTCCTCCCGCCCCACCACCTGCTCCCTAGATCCAATTCCCTTGCATCTTTATCCGTACTCTGTCTTCTTCTCTTTCTCCACCTCTCACTAAAATTCTCAATCTCTCTCTCTCTCCTCTGGTATATTTCCATTGCCCTTCAAACATGCAACTGTAACCCCAAATCTTGTCCCTAACTCCCCATCCAACTATCGTCCTATCTCGCTACTGCCTTTTGCATCCAAGATCCTTGAAAAAATTGTGTATGCGAGATTGACAGACTTCCTCGAGTCCAACTCTCTGCTAGACCCGCTTCAGTCTGGTTTCCGCGCTAAGCACTCTGTGGAAACGGCACTGACCAAAGTATCCAATGATCTACTCGCTGCAAAATCTCGTGGTCACTACTCTCTCCTAATTCTCCTTGACCTGTCTGCGCAGGGCCATCTTTAATATTGATTGGGCCCTGGGCAAGCATTTGCTTGGGCCCCCTGGATCCACTCACTAGCATGCAATCACGCCTCCACCCCAACGCAGTGGGCGAACTAAAGTAGAAAGAGCCCTGGTGCAAGAATTTCATTTGGACCCCCAATTGCAAGGTTGGAAAGAAGGTAGAACCCTATCTGTCATGCAACTCCAACAATGCATTGACAGCTGGGGCTCTATCAATTTCCCATGCTTGCAGGGTTGTATTTAGCACTGTGTTTGTGTGTTTGAATGTAAGCATGTTTTTGTATGGAGTATGTTTGTGTGAATGTGTTTGTATGTGGTGTTAGAGTTTGAATGCAAGTGTACATTTAAGTGTAGTGCTGGTTTTTGAATGTAGGGGTTTGTTTATATATAATTTTGGTGTTTAACACAGAGGTGTGTTTGTATGAAGTGTTGACTTTCAATGCAGGAGTGTGTTTGTATGTAATGTTGAAGTTTGAATGGAAGGGTGTATTTGTATTTATTGTTTGTGCTCAGACACAGGTAGACATGCTGACACACAAGCAGATACACACACTGACTACATACAGATACGCACACAGATAAACACACAGACACATACAGATACACAGACAGATAAACTGAGAAATACTGACACACATAAATACATACAATGATAGACATACTGACACACACACTGACACAAACGGTCTCACAGGCACATATGATGACAAACATACTGACACACACACAGGCACAAACACTGATAGATATCCTGACACACACACACAGGCACATATACAGACATACTAACACACACACACAGTATCTCTATCAGCGTATGTGGCTGTGTGTGTGTCAGTATGTCTGTATATGTGCCTGTGTGTGTGTGTCAGGATATCTATCAGTATAAGTGCCTGTGTGTGTGTGTTTGTGTGTGTGTGTGTCAGTATGTCTGTATATGTGCGTGTGTGTGTGTCAGTATGTCTATCAGTGTATGTGCCTATGTGTGTGTGTCAATATGTTTGTCATTGTATGTGCCTGTGTGTGTCAGTATGTTTATTAGTGTGCCTGTATCAGTATGTATATCAGTGTATGTGCCTGACACACACACACACACATACACTGGAATACATACTGACACACAGGCACATACACTGGCAGACATACTGACACACACAGAGACATACTGACACACAGATACATACACTGATAGACATGCTGAAACACACACACTAATAGGCATACTGACACACAAACAGGCACATACACTGACAGACATACTGACACACACAGACCTTCTGACACACACACAGATACAGACACTGTCAAACATACTGACATACACACATACACTATCAGACATACTGACATACACAGACACACACAGACATACTGACACACACAGACATACTGGCATACACAGACACATACACTGTCAGACATACTGACACACATAAATACATGGACAGACAAACTGATATACATGTAAAATTTAAATTTTAAGCCCACCCTCCAGTTTCCTATCTTTTGCTGGAGGGTGGCATCCCTGGGATCCAGTGTGCTGCCTGAGGATGATGTGAGTGAGGAGCCCCCATCCTCACTGCCTCCTCCTCCCTCCCGTACAGGTCCTTCTTCTCCCGCGCAGCAGCTCTTTATGGGAGGAAGTGACGCTTGGCACTCACTTCCTCCCAGCGGTGCCGAAAAGCAAGAGGCCCGGTCGCGCTGTTAAAGGGCCACAGCGCCCGACCGGGCCCCTGCTGGTACAAGCCCACCGTGGCCCTAAGTGCATGGGCCACCCGGTGGGACTCCTTACAGTGCGGGGGGCCCCTAAAGCGGCCAGGAAACATTATATTTATTTTTTTAGGGCAGCGGGGCCCACGGGACAGCTGCCTTCGGCCCCCAGGAGTAATTGGGAAACACTGCAAGAGCGGTAGGAGAGGTAGCTGCCCCGTTTGCCCCGCGTTAAAGACGGCCCTGTGTCTGCGGTCTGATCATCAACAGCTTCTTCTCATCCTCCGCAATATCGGTCTACAAGATATTGCTCTCTCCTAGTGCTCTTCCTCCTGGTGCTCCTCCTACCTCTCCTACCGCTCTTGCAGTGTTTCTTTCTCTGGCTCTGCTTCTTCTCCCCAACTCCTCTCTGTTGGTGTCCCCCAAGGTTCAGTCCTTTGTCCCCTACTGTTCTCCATCCATACTGCCTCCCTTGGTAAACTCATTAGCTCCTTTGGCTTCCAATATCTTCTATGCAGATGACATGGAAATCTACCTGTCCTCTCCTGATCTCTCCCTGTCCCTCTTGACTAGTGTCTCTGACTGCCTCTCTGCTGTTTCTAACTGGATGGCTGCCCACTTCCTTAAACTAAACTTGACCAAAACTGAAATTCTGGTCTTACCTCCCTCAAGTGTTGTTACTCCTGTGTCTGTCTCCCTCCAAGTCAACAGTGCTACCATCAGCTCCACCATGCAGGCTCGCTGCCTAGGTGTTCTCTTTGACTCCGACCTCTCCTTCAAGCCTCATGTTCAATCTATCGCCAAATCCTGTCATTTTCATCTCAAAAACATTGCTCGTATCCGCCCCTTCTTAACGCCAGATGCGACTAAGGTGTTGGTCCATTCCACTGTCTTTCTCGCCTTGACTACTGTAATCCGCTTCTCAGTGGTCTTACGTGCTCCCAACTTGCGCCGTTACAGTCCATAATGAATGCGGCGGCGAGGCTCATCTTCCTGTCCGCCCGCACCTCCCATGCCTCACCCTTCTGTCAGTCCCTACATTGGCTTCCTATAAAATATAGAGCTCAATTTAAAATTCTGGTTCTTGTTTTCAAATCTCTACATAATGCTGCTCCCACCTATCTATCCTCCCTTAAACACAAGTATGTCCCGTCTAGGCCCTTACGATCTGCTGAAGACTTACGTCTATCTTCTGTCCGTACTCCCACCTCTGATGTTCGCCTTCAAGATTTCTCGAGGGCTGCACTGTTCTTGTGGAACTTGCTTCCGTCCTCCGTTAGATGCTCACCCAGTCTCCACTCCTTCAAAAAATCGTTAAAAACCCACTTCTTCATAAAAGCTAATCAATTAAACTGTTAATAGCTCCTGACTGGTTCCTCTTCTGCAACTGTCACTAGTCTATTACTATCCTTACCTTTTGTGTCATTTTGCCTCCTCCCCAACATGTAAACTCACTAAGCAGGGCCCTCAATCCCCCTGTTACTGTGTCACTATACCCCACTCCCTCTAACATGTAAACTCACTAAGCAGGGCCCCCAATCCCTCTGCTACTGTCACTATACCCCACTCCCTCTAACATGTAAACTCACTGAGCAAGCCCTCAATCCCTCTGTTACTGTGTCACTATACCCCACTCCCTCTAACATGTAAGCTCACTGTGCAGGCCCTCAATCCCTCTGTTACTGTGTCACTATACTCCACTCCCTCTAGCATGTAAACTCACTGAGCAGGGCCCTCAATCCCTCTTTTACTGTGTCACTATACCCCACTCCCTCTAACATGTAAACTCACTGAGCAGGACCTCAATCCCTCTGTTACTGCCACTATACCCCACTCCCTCTAACATGTAAACTCACTGAGCAGGGCCTCAATCCCTCTGTTACTGTGTCACTATACCCCACTCCCTCTAACATGTAAACTCACTGAGCAGGCCGTCAATCCCTCTGTTACTGTCACTATACCCCACTCTCTCTAACATGTAAACTCACTGAGCAGGGCCCTCAGTCCCTCTGTTACTGTGTCACTATACCCTCGCCCCTCTAACATGTAAAACCTCACTGGAGCTGGGCCCCTCAATCCCTCTGTTACTGTCACTATACCCCACTCCCTCTAACATGTAAATTCACTGAGCAGGCCCTCAATCCCTCTGTTACTGTGTGTCACTATACCCCACTTCCTCTAACATGTAAACTCACTGAGCAGGGCCCTCAATCCCTCTGTTACCGTGTCACTATACCCCACTCCCAACATGTAAACTCACTGAGCAGGGCCCCTCAACTCTCTGTTACTGTCACTATACCCCACTCCCTCTAACATGTAAGCCTCTCACTGAGCAGGGCCTCAATCCCTCTGTTAATGTGTCACTATACCCCACTCCCTCTAACATGTAAGCTCACTGAGCAGGCCCTCAATCCCTCTGTTACTGTGTCACTATACCCCACTCCCTCTAACATGTAAACCCACTGAGCAGGGCCCTCAATCCCTCTGTTACTGTGTCACTATACCCCACTCCCTCTAACATGTAAACTCACTGAGCAGGGCCCTCAATCCCTCTGCTACTGTGTCACTATACCCCACTCCCTCTAGCATGTAAGCTCACTGAGCATTGCCCTCAATCCCTCTGTTACTGTGTAACTATACCCCACTCCCTCTAACATGTAAGCTCACTGAGCAGGGCCCTCAATCTCTCTGTTACTGTGTCATTATACCCCACTCCCTATAACATGTAAACTCACTGAGCATTGCCCTCAATCCCTCTGTTACTGTGTCACTATACCCCACTCCCTCTAGCATGTAAACTCACTGAGCAGGCCCTCAATCCCTCTGTTACTGTGTCACTATACCCCACTCCCTCTAACATGTAAACTCACTGAGCAGGGCCCTCAATCCCTCTGTTACTGTGTCACTATACCCCACTCCCTCTAACATGTAAACTCACTGAGCAGGGCCCTCAATCCCTCTGTTACTGTCACTATACCCCACTCCCTCTAACATGTAAACTCACTGAGCAGGCCCTCAATCCCTCTGTTACTGTGTCACTATACCCCACTCCCTCTAACATGTAACCTCACTGAGCAGGCCCTCAATCCTCTGTTACTGTGTCACTATACTCCCACTCCCTCTAACATGTAAACTCACTGAGCAGGCCCTCAATCCCTCTGTTACTGTGTCACTATACCCCACCCCTCTAACATGTAAACTCACTGAGCAGGGCCCTCAATCCCTCTGTTACTGTGTCACTATACCCCACTCCCTCTAACATGTAAACTCACTGAGCAGGCCCCTCAATCCCTCTGTTACTGTGTCACTATACCCCACTCCCTCTAACATGTAAACTCACTGAGCAGGGCCTCAATCCCTCTGTTACTGTGTCACTATACCCCACTCCTCTAACATGTAAACTCACTGAGCAGGGCCCTCAATCCCTCTGTTACTGTGTCACTATACCCCACTCCCTCTAACATGTAAACTCACTGAGCAGGGCCCTCAATCCCTCTGTTACTGTGTCACTATACCCCACTCCCTCTAACATGTAAACTCACTGAGCAGGCCCTCAATCCCTCTGTTACTGTGTCACTATACCCCACTCCCTCTAACATGTAAACTCACTGAGCAGGCCCTCAATCCCTCTGTTACTGTGTCACTATACCCCACTCCCTCTACATGTAAACTCACTGAGCAGGGCCCTCAATCCCTCTGTTACTGTGTCACTATACCCCACTCCCTCTAACATGTAAACTCACTGAGCAGGGCCCTCAATCCCTCTGTTACTGTGTCACTATACCCCACTCCCTCTAACATGTAAACTCACTGAGCAGGGCCCTCAATCCCTCTGTTACTGTGTCACTATACCCCACTCCCTCTAACATGTAAACTCACTGAGCAGGGCCCTCAATCCCTCTGTTACTGTGTCACTATACCCCACTCCCTCTAACATGTAAACTCACTGAGCAGGGCCCTCAATCCCTCTGTTACTGTGTCACTATACCCCACTCCCTCTAACATGTAAACTCACTGAGCAGGCCCTCAATCCCTCTGTTACTGTGTCACTATACCCCACTCCCTCTAACATGTAAACTCACTGAGCAGGCCCTCAATCCCTCTGTTACTGTGTCACTATACCCCACTCCCTCTAACATGTAAACTCACTGAGCAGGGCCCTCAATCCCTCTGTTACTGTGTCACTATACCCCACTCCCTCTAACATGTAAACTCACTGAGCAGGGCCCTCAATCCCTCTGTTACTGTGTCACTATACCCCACTTCCTCTAACATGTAAACTCACTGAGCAGGACCCACAATCCCTCTGTTACTGTGTGTCCAACTCATCTTGTTACAATTACGTGTCTGTAATTGTACAGCGCTGCAGAATTTGTTTGGTTTTATAAATAATAATAAGTAATGATTAGAGGAAATAGATTGCTTTGATAGAAGGTCTATTTTCCCTTTGGGTAATATGGATCATTGTACCTATATTTACTGTTTTAATTTATCACTCGTTACTATACATCGTATAGTAAGTATAATTACTAATTAAGTATTGCCTTCCTTCTTTCTCTTGCTTTCTATAGGTAGTTGGAGTTGTCATCTGTGCCTGAGACAGCTTAAGGAGAAAGCGTCTGCCTACATCACTCTGACTTAGACAGACTGACCATCAAGCTATACGGACAAAGAGATTCTCACTGCATCACCCCCCCCGGTCCTGCTCAGTCCCAGAATCCTCTGCTTTAGCCCTTGCAAGACTCCGCTCCTAAACCACGTACTAACCGGCAGAGCTCAAAGTAGCTCTATGGTTCCAGCTATGTGAGTGTGACGATACTTTGAGGTACACAGTGTCCCCGTCTTATTTATTCCCCAGGCTCAAACTGGATCACCAACGTTGACTTTTCAAACCAGATTCCAGATTTCAACTGATGGAGAAATGGGGGCTCTTTGTGAAGCATCTGCCCCTACCCCCCAATGTGCGTTTGAAACAGACTGGGGTCCAGAGAGAGCTGGAACAAAGCTTCGTCCCCAATCTGTGTCACTGTGTAACCGAATCGTATTTAACGCAGTCATGGGTGAATCAAGTTGAGAAATTCAGTTTGGTTTTGATTCCAGTTACAAGGTGTATTATTTTCCAGTTTGTATGTAAATAAATGTAGGGTGTGTGAGGCTGTGAGTTTGGGATATATGTGTGCACATTCCTTAATGTGACAGCGATATTCCCCCATTCATAAGCACTTAGTATTTTTTCTCATCCTCAATTATAATTGTACCCTTAATCTCTTCTTATCATTCATTGTATAATATCTCATTCTATCTCTCCTGGTCTTTCTGTTGCATCCCTTCCTCGCTCCCAACATATCCGTAGAATCAAAAAGAATTCTTTAACCTTCGACAAATCCTAAACTGATTTTCCACTTTACCCTCAAGTTAAAAGTGAAGAAAATCTGCTAAATCTCTCCCCCTGTCTCCAAGCTTTTATTTGTAACCTCCTTACCTCCTTATTAACTGCTCTAGTCCTGTTTATGTCCCTTTTCTAAACAAAAAAAAAAGCACATTCAGTTGACTTTTGAGAGATCTATTGATTGTGACAGCATGACTACTCAGAGCTGTGAATTTTAACTCTTTATTTGTAATGGGAATTCACTGCTGGTAGTGAAATCATCTTTCGTTAAGTCTTTGTGTTTGGCCCGTTGTTGCAGCTCTGTTATGGATCAAGTCACCAGAGAGTTGTTTGCGTTATTCTTCATTCTCACTCACTATTTTAGTGTATTCTCTGTATGCAAAAACATTTCAACATGAAAGGCATTATAATGTATTGATGGCATAAACCTTCACACAAAGACATCCAGAAATCCCTCTTTGTTCCAGAACTGTCCTTTCAAACTCTGCCGATTTCTCTGTCTTTTCCCAAATCTTCTGAGCTCAGTAAGGCTGGACCCAGTGTCTGATTTCCATATCGAACAGTCCCAGCTGTGCGTATCGTCTTGGGTGTCAGAACTGATAATGAGCTGGTGTATTACCCACAATCCTCTCTCAGCTCGTTAGAACGCATGCTTGCTATAGCCATATGGTCTGGGTGCATAATGTTCACACTTCCCTCTTCATCTTACCTATCACTCCTATCTGCCCCCTCACCCACTCTTCCTTTCTTGGCTTGTGTAATGCTTTCTTTGTTCATTCTATTAACTCTTTTCATTCTTTACATTTCTCTTTACTTCCTTACTCCATCTTCCTGTCCCCACCTTGTTCTTTAATCACAGTGTTTATGGTTTCCTTGTCATCCTGGGTGAGCTAGCTTTAAAGGAACATTCATTTATTTCATTCCCCATATCAGTGAGAGTCAGCATTCAGGAGACACAGAGCGGCAGATATTTCTCCTTCCTATCGGATGACTTGTGATGTCTCCACAGCCTATAGGAACCATGCCGCACAATGAACACCAAAGACCCGGCACATAAAGATGGTTTGGGCAAATTTATTCAGACAGAACATTGTGGCTCCAAAAGGGGCTTTCCTCAAGCTTTGTCCTTCAAAAGCCGAATCGGTGTGTGATAATTTCTAAATAAATCAGCCTGAACCATCTTCATGTCCTTCATCGTCATTGTGCTGGTCAGTTGGGCTGAGTCTTCTCTGGACTGGCGGCACTCCTGGTGGTACTTTGAGCATGTGCTGTCCCGTATCATTGTCTTATAATAGAAACCCACCACTGACCACCACCGTGATTAAATAGGAGAAGATTGTTGAGGCTCTGTATTTCCTACTTCTTTGACCTGAAAGTCTATTTATTTCTGGTTTTTTTTATCTTTTCATTTGTTTGTTCTAACACCGTTCTGAAAGCTTTGAATAGTGTGTAAGGCAGTCGGTGTGCACTCTGATAGTGAATGGTGGGACTGTTTTTGTGTTGGTACATGTAATTTTTAAGAGTGGATTTGGTGCCCCTGTATTAGACAGTAATATATATATATATATATATATTATCCCCAAACACTGTAGTCTCATTAACCCTGTATCTGCCATCCATACCGCTAAAACATCTCACTCTGATGACGGATGTGTGGCCTGTAAAAACAAGCACATTATCACTGCTTTGAAATCTCTGCCACTTTAAATGAACATTCACTAATGAATTTGGTTAACAATGCACAATGCCTTTATAAATGTGGCTCCTGATCATAGGCTTCTGTGGATCTGTGAAACCCATCGTAAGCAAAATGGGGGATCCTCTCGGCACACGTAAAGATTAGCAGCCAGCAGCCCATGATTAGTCAGGTGGGCCATGCTATTTTGGGCAGGGGCGCTGCGTGGATGTTTGTGTGCGTGTGTGTACCTGCGTGTGTGTGTGTTTATTATGTGTATTAGTTAAAACACAAAGCACTTAGCTAATTAAAAACTTAACGAAGGTCCAAGCATTATTTGCTCTGGCTAGTAAGATGAAAAGAAAGTTTATTACTTTGATGGTCTTTCTAAGTGGGTTTTTACCGTTGAAGCCATTTTAAATTACAGGTTTAAAGGGATGTAACTTTACATGTTTATTGCACTGTGGTTGGGCAATGGAACGTACACCAGACAGGTTCACAAATTACGGACCGCTGCCATTTAATTGGTAGGGTTAGCACAGGTATGCATCAGGAGACCCGATTGGACTTATTACTATTATTAATGAGTACTTTGTCTGATTCAATGGATGGTACAGTTAAACCGACAAGCCACATGGTGTCACAGTGATTTGTTTGGCGCTAATGGAATTTCTGTTACTGTACCTTTAAGAAGAAGTGGCAGTGCCCATTCTTTTAATTGCTCCAAAGCCCTGGTGGCAAAAAAACCAAAACCTTGTTTAGTTCTTACCTTTCAAATTCCCCCCGATGTCTAATTAGATGTGGTTTATTTTCCTAATAGTTACATTTTAAAATGCCGAAGTGTTTATCTTCCCCTCCTTGTCTCTAATTACATGTACCTTACATTAGTATAAGGATTACCGCCACTAATGACTAACGGCAATCAGCGACACGTTTTACAATGTGGCCAGTAGGATTTAACCTACGAAATCGCTGGCCTCATTAAATCTGCCTTAGACTCCCAGGTTTTTTAAGCTGCGTGGACTCCTAATAATAATTAAATTTTCGTAGATTGGAGCTCGCTGACAGAGCCAAAGTAAGGAGATTGAAGAGATGCTTGTTATTTGTAAAGCACCGACCTATTCTGCAGCGGTGTACAATGAGTAAACAAAGCATACATGTGCGCTCTTAAAACAAAATAAATTATAGAAAGAACTAAACAACAAGACCCAATGTGTCTGCATCCAATTACCAAGATGGAAGGTAAAATACAGGGTGGGTCAAACGTCTGAGTAGGATTTGACTGGAAAATAGTTCAATGTTTTTGTTGCAAATACATATTATAACTGAGTCTTGGGAGATTCATCGGGGTCAATTTCATGAAGAAACATCAAGTAAAAATAGTGCAATTTTTTATTTGAAAACTGAGACAACTGTTTGGCGAGCGGATAATTTCTCAGATTAATTGGCCGCCACATTCACCCGACCTTTCAGCTCCTGATTACTTCCCGTGGGGATATCTGAAGGAGCGGGTGTACGAGAACAAACCGCGTTCACTTTAACAGCTCAAGGAGAAGATTGGTGCAGAAATACGATCACTAGAGCCTCAAACATTAACTAATGTTATGAACGATGCAATCCAAAGAGCCTGACACGCGAGGCGGCAAATGGAGCTCATTTAAAATATGTCATCTTCCGTACCTCGTCAAACAAATCTCCATACGTTAAGCATTCATTGTGTGTAATATCAAGGAAATTGGTTCATTAATAAAAAATAAAAAAAGGTATTGACTCCTCAAACCCTACTCTGAATTTTGGCCCACCAAGCAAAACCGTAAAATTTGTACAAGATTTGCAAAGCAGTTCTTAATGAACTTTTATGGGAAAGGACCCTTTCATTATAGCGCTGCAGCATAAATGTAAATTAAGATATATTTTTATCTTTACATTTTACACACAATCTAAAAGTTATCTGGCTGGATTACAGTATAGACGTGCTTTAAATTTAATGACATTTTATGTCGCACTACGCTGGAATTAGCACCCAATACCTTTCAGAGGTTCCTGAATTGTATTAAACCAATGTGTATGAAATGATTTAGTCATTTTACAGGGACTTTGTATAATAAATATATATAATAAATTAACAGAAAATAAAATATGACCTTATATTTTCAGGTAGCGTTCCAGTTCTGAGCAATTTGTGTCTCAGAATAGGAGATACCATTGGTGATACTCGGTATTCAGTGAATCCTGTTATTTAGTTAAGTCTTAGATTCAGTCTCCACGTAATTTACATACCACGCCACTGGCATATACTAATAATTAGTCACCCACAGCCTACATAGGGAACTTTGTGCCAGCAAACGCTGTGAATTGATTTAAATCAACATATCTGGTAGCGTTTATCAAGAACTGAAGGTTTTTACAATATATATTTTTGTTAAGCAGGTTCGATCTTAGTTGTGGCATTCTGGTCATGTTAAGTTAGGTGGGGGTTAATATGTTTTATATTCTGAACCCAGACAGATTTTTATTCACTTAACCGGGTTTGCCAGAATAGCTCAGTTGGGGGGAAAATGCCTTAATTTGAAAAACGTTCACTTATACTGTCCACAAATTCCTTTGTCAAGTTTCCTCAGTTTGAGGTTTGATAAATAAACCATTCGGTTAAAGAGTTGCACCAGTTACCAGTGTTAAGTAGTCATGGTTCTTGGAAGCTTATGCGTGCATTCTTCAGTAAACGTTATTGCATATAGAGAGAGCTAGCGTCATTACCCAGCCCACCAATAGAACAACTTGCTAGCCACAGGCAACCAATAGTGGCACAACCCTCCCACCGATGCTGCCCTAGTCGTCCCCTCAGCCTGTCCTCCGGGATGCCCTTCCCCTGCAGTCAGAAGGATTTGCGCCAATGGAGGTGGGCTGCAGGGAGAACTTGGCCTCGGCATCGGATCGCAGGTAATTTCAACTGTTTATTTCAACCAGGCAAGACTTGCTTCCACCAAAAACAGTGTTTTATTAAGGTAACCCTCTAAACAGACATATAGAAACCAAAACTGTAGATTTTGAGAGGCAGTCCTGCGTGTTCGTATCGTATGCTGCAACATTAGCCATAGTAAAAATATCTGGGGAATAGAAGGGCATTTGTTATTGTTTTAATGGTTTGGGGAATTTATTTTGTTTTAATTTTTTTAATAGCAGAAAGTAAGGAATTGTTGAGAAATTAGGACTTTCTAGCAAACACTATTGCAGTGAGAAGCCATTTTTATTTTTTTATTTTAAAATGGCTGCTGGGTGTTATCAGTATTAACTGCATTGCCAAATGATTACGCTTCCTGGTGACAGAGGCGACGACTCTGTTAAATTCACACAAATACCATGAGAGCGGGAGTGCGGCCCGGGCTCCGGTCCTGTGTGTTTTACAGCCTGTTTAGATAGAAACCGACAGATGAGAAATTTGCACAGATCTACGATACTTAAAAAGGTGCTGCAAACATGTTATACAAATAAATAATTAATAATAAAAAAATAAAATTAAAAAAATGTGGAAAATGATGATTGAAACACATTTGTGGCGGCATTTGATCCGCTGAGCATTTGATATTTTGCTGTGTTTAATGTTGTATTTTCTTTATGTTGCTTGCATTAGTGCGATGAATCGTTATTGGGTGTTAATAAACTAACGGACTGAAAGCTTTGCTTCCGAAGTCTTCTTTTCCCAAATGTTTCTGAGGAAGGTGGGAAGTAAGTCAAAACGTTGACTATTCCCCTTCACCAAGCCTTGCTGAGCACAAATTATTTCTCTTTCATTTTATTCAGCAGGCCTGAAAAGAGCTTGTGTTTACCTGCTGATACATAACATCGTTTATAAATATAGATAATTATTTCCTCAGATTGACTTCTTTTTATGTCCATTTTGTCATCTCACTCAATGTATTTTATATCGAAGAGAGTCCTCAGAACATGTCACTGAGTGCCGTGTGTGGAAATGACCAAACTAAACTAATCAAAGACAGGAGTCCGTCCCGCTGAGGGACAAAGTTTGCAAGATGGCATGAGCTGGACATTTGTTTTCTAAATGCTTTATTTTGGAATCTTAAATCCTGCAATATCAATGTATATATTTCAAACTATTTAAATCTCCTTTCAAATGCAAATATATAGACAAGCATTCTCATGCTTCAGAGCTACAACAGTGCCTTCTATAGTGAATTAAAGGTTCGATGGAGACGCACACTGTAATGCGGGTCTGGGCTTTTACCACCGTTTTGGCTGAAATCCAATCTTCAAATCACTACAGCACGCTATGTGATGCCAGGAGGACCCTGCCGTGATTCCCCCCTAAAGGGGAAAATCTTTAAGCAACAGTTTGCCCCCTTACCTGGGTCCCCGCCTGGTTACGAGGCTGTATTGGGCTCTGGTGATATGCTATTGGCTTCTGCAGAGCTGTGGGTGCCGATCCATGCGCCATTCATTGTCTGAAAACATTTAACCACTCGCAGCCGTTAATTGTATTCTGTATATCTGGCTGGCTGACGACGTCCCATTGATGTGGGCAAAGGTAGAATTTTACGTATAGTGCTAGAAATGTAACTCTGTATTCGCTATAGTATCCCTTTAATCATACACTCATTACATTTGACCTAAAACCTATGTAGCGGATTGCTTTTGGCTACTATCCACCGTCCTTAATTTTGGCTGTCCATAACTTTTATTGTTACAACATTATGTTCGATTTCCTATGGTTTGTTACTTTTAACACAAGAAGTAACCAGGGAGCTGCTGAAGCATTCGTCTGGTTGTTCGGTAGGAACCGAATTGCCAACATGTTAAATATCTCCGTTCAACAAACAAACTACTGAACAACCAGACCACCCCAGAGAGGAACGTGGCTCTAATTGACCTCCCCATCGTTATTAACACTATCCCTGGGTGGGCACCGTTCAACACGCGAACCCGTGGTGGCGGCCATCTTGCCATATGAACGCACCAGCGGTGTTTGGTCATCGAGTGTCTGGAACCCAAATCGGACACTCGACCACGCGAACACTGCAAAGACCTCCATACCTCCACCCGTTCGTGGGAAAACACACGAACGGCACAGCGTTTGGTAAAAAGATACCCACGAACAAGGGGATTCATACAAACCCAGTCAGAGCCCATTATATTGACTATTTTTGTGTTTTTTACCTCACGAACGACCGACCGCAAGGCCAAAACACATGGAACTCCTTTTCGGCTACTGCCTTGTGTGTGGTCGGTAAAACGCAGACCTCCAAAAAATTCCCGAACCCCTGATCTGATCTGGGTGATTTTTGAGTATGTTGCTCACCCAGATCAGGGCTATCAGGGGATATATAATTTAGGGGTGCATGTCATAGTCTTGGGGTACATCCAGAAAACGGGGAAAAATGTGTGTTTCAAATGTATAGATACTTGTGTTATCTCCCAGGCTAAGGGGAGGGGATGTGTGGGCTGTAACCAGCTAGGGATTGGGTAATTCCTAATTTTTTGTGGGTATCTCCCTTGCGTGAGAGGATTGCATAAAAGCAGAGTATGTGGCATTAAAATTGAGTTCTGCTCCTGATACAGAGTGTCATCCAGTTATTGGGAAAGGTGATGGGATATTCCTGGATTCCTATATTTACTGTTTATGCTGTTATTCTTATGATAACCTACTTGATCCTGAGTAACTATTGGAATACCAGCGGAGAAAGTCTATGTTAAATTAGCGCTCTGCTAAAACCTACAATACCCATTGTACAGCGCTACGGAATCTGATGGCGCTATATAAATAATAAAATAATAATAATAATTCTCTTGTTAGTTCTCCACAGTTTCCATTTTGTTAATTAAACTCCAAGGTTTTTTAATCCGTTATTTGCATTAGTAACTTGCTGTTTCAAAATATAAGAGATGTATTGGTTTGGTTTTTTTGAGTAGATGGTGGATGAGATAAAAGCGTTCGTTTTCTTACTGATTTGTTATGTTGGATTCCATTGGTCCATGAATCCCGCAGAGTATTCATAGTACGGCGTATGTACAGATCATTATTTTACTCTCTTAAACAATCGCCTCGATTACATCCCAGCAGAAACTATTTCATAGACACAATTTGCTCCTGGATCTATTTGATCCTGTTCTACATGAAGATCTCCTGAAGACACGCTGTCTGAATAACGCTCGCATTTAGCTATAAAACACCCTTAAAAGATAAATAAAGGAAACATCTCCTTATTGATTTACCTATTGTTCACTTGTGACCAGACCCTCTTTTTTACAATAAACCTTTTTAACTAGAACAAACCATGCCTTAAATCCAACGGTGGGATCACTTGTGTCCATGCCCCAACGCACACTGTGCCACTGTATTGTCCAATCAGAGAATCATTTCATTGGGCGTTTTCAGTGCTCACTCAGAGTGCATGCGTGGCTCTGAATCGGGGAGGGACAGAGCGGACATCTTATATCTTTATATATTAATTAAAGCGGTACAGTCACTGTCTGAGGACTTTGCAGAATTTGTGGAGTCATCATCACTGGGGGTCCGGTGGCTGGTGGAAGCCAGTAAAGGTGAGATGTACTTATGCCAGGAGCCAATAGCACTGCTAAACTCTCACGCATGCGCATGTGTATAGCTTTGAGCTCCATGGAGGATGCAGTCCATTCCCTGGTGACAGCTGGGGGGATGTAGCGGAGAGCAGTGGTAGCAGGCCTTCTCCGCTGGTTACTCCAACAGCTACTCAGGAACAAATAGGATACTTCAGGACAGCAGGCATAATTACAAGATGATACCATCCTTCCTAATAACTGGACTACACTCAGTATTAGGAGCAGAACTGATCCTTTAACGGCCAGGGTGGCCTTTTATGCAGGTTTTGCCCCAGAGGTTACCACCCAGGTGGACCTTGTGGGGCACAGATAAAAATATACATCAACCAGTAAAAACAGAGTTAAGTCACAAGACACTCCAAACACTGTATACAATCCCTCCCCTCTGCTCAAAGGATAATTGAGTTAATTACTGTATCAACACAATTATCCCAAAACCGAAAAATCGCAATTTTCATACTTTTCTGGAAACACTCCACAAACATTGTGGCGGAACCAACCTCGCCACTGTACACTGGAGAAGCCTGGTTGCTTGCCTGCTCCCTTCAGATTATGGCCCAGCAGTTCAGAGCTGTTATTTTCCCTGCTGAAAGGTTTATTCGTGCCTTTCTGCCAGGGTGTTCGGTAGATTCCATCTACCGAACAAACTACCGAACGATGGACCACCTGGGAGCTGGAGTGTGCCATCAATTGACCGCCCAGAAGCTGCGGTTAACCGCAGCTTAATTGATGAACGCTGGGTGGCCTTTGTTCGTCTGCCGAACACGTGGCAGCGGCCATTTTAGCGGTGTTCAGCGCCCAAACTATGGAACTGAAAACGGACACTTATTGGCGCGAACACCACTGAGCCGCCAGCCTCCTTACCTTCCCATTCGGTAAGCAGAACCGAATGACTGTTCATTCGGTAGTTTCGCCGGATGAACAGCATCCCCCAGATAGCTAAGCCATGGAGCCTATTCGTGTAACGAAAGACTATGGGAAAGACTTTGGCTTCGTGGCAATTTAACTGTATGTATGTGATCTGAGCGCCATTCGGTAGTAATGTGCGCTCAGATCTAAGCTCTCTGGGGATATGTAGAATGTATATGTTTTATGTAATAAATGTGACTGTATGTAATTTTATGTCTTTTACTGTATTGTTACTGCCATGTGGTTAATGGAGTTTTGCCTCTGTCTTTGGAGATAATTGGATTACTTCCCAATTATCTCCAGGACAGAGAGGAGGGATTGTGATGTAATTGTGGGAGTGTTTAAAGGTGTATGTATGTGATTGGCTAAGAGCCAATATGTTTCCCAGTTTCCCATTTGGCAGTTAGCCCCAGTAAACCAGATTCTGCTTGACCCTCAAAACGAAGTGTCGTCTCGTCTTTGGGGGGATTTACTGTATGCTGTTAGAGACTGATTGCCAGGAGTGTAAGCCGCTTGGGTGCTTTTCCTGTTCGTCTGCTAACAGCTATTCGTGTGTCTCCAGTTCGGGAGTTTGGAGTGCTACTTGGTATGCAGTTCGGGAGTTTCGAGTATTCCCTTGGTTGCAGTTCGGGAGTTGGTGAATTCGTGGGTTTGCAGTTCGGGAGATTGGTGCTTGCAGTAGCTGTTGGGGTATCTGGAAAAGGGAATATCAACTAAATGGTTTTTAACCTCTGTTGAGCCAAAACGTTCCGTTACAAACATATCCAACATTCCCTTGATAGCCCCGATCTGGGGGAACAACATGCTGGAAAATCACCCAGATCGGTTCAGGGGTTCAAAAGTTTCATGGATGTCTTAGTTTTAACAACCGCACACAAGGTGTAAGCCAAGAATAGTTCAATGAGTTTTGGGTGTGCGGTCGATCTCTGTTCGGGAGGTTGAAATACATGAAAATATACAACAGAATGTTTTGTGTGTACGTTCGTTTAATTTCCCCCGTTCGTATGGTTCTTTTTACCAAACGCCGCTCTGTTCCCTTGAGTTCCCATGAACTTATGCGAGGATGGAAGTCTCTACGGAGTTTGTGCCGTCGCGTGTCCGATTTGGGTTCCGGACACTCAACGACTAAACACCGCTGGTGTGTTCGTATGTAAAGATGGCTGCCGCCACGTGTTCGTATGACGAACGGCGGCCACCCAGGGAACACCCAGTTAGTTTGTGCGGTTGTCAATTAAAGCAGTGTGAATAAAGTTAGGGGGGTCCATTGATGCCACGCTCCTCTCCTGGGTGGCCTGCTTGTTTGGTAGTTTGTTCGTTTGTCGAACAATATGGTGTAAAATAGTTGAAACAGGATCTTTACCGAACAACCAGACAAACGAGAGTTAATATTACATTGTTACTTCTTTCCTCATGTAACCAACAGGGCAGGTAACTGAAATACAGTAACAAATAGGGTGGGTGGACAGCCCTTAGCAAAAGGAAGGTACTGTGGCGAAACCCATTCCGCTACAGGGGATTACGCTTCTAAACCGTCTTCTAGTCCATTGTCTAGAAGTGTCAGGCATAAGGGAAATATTGTGACAAAGTAGTCCCTATTCTATGTCTCAGTATATGTCTTGACTAGGTTGGAATTTCAGTTAAATTCTAGCACTAATTCTATCTGCATAAAATACTCATTTTGGGGAGGGGGGGTTAGTGCTTATTTAAAACAATACAACACAAAGCTCGCTGTGATTTCTAGAACTCAAAACTTAAAGTCAAATGTTTAGCAGCATTCGGCCTATAACATTCGTGCTCCCTAAACATCAGTCTGGGTCTGTCCCTTTCTCCTAGAGTCCCGTAACAATAGTTGTACGTCCCGTTAAGAAGCACAGCAAAGCATTCAAGGAGGTGTAGTTCAGATAATCCCCCATAATGCAATGTATGGAATGAATATCAGATCTGGTGGAATTCTCATTGACTAGACACAGGCTTTCTGTATTCATAATGAACATTATTCAGAAATTCATGGTCAGCTGTTTATGTTCCAGCTTCTATCACGGTCACCAGTTCACGTCACTCAACATCAACCATATCAACTGCGTTAAACGCAAGAAAGGAAACAAACAAAATATATATGAAATACTCCGGAGAGTACAGGGTATATTTTCTGCTAAGTACTTGCTCTCCCTGTTGCGTGTGTTAGATCAAGGCCGGGGGAGGTAATATCCAAGCAGTTTATGCATTTCTCACCATTCGTGCATGTGGCCTGGTTCCCTGCATTGCTGCCATTGCGTGCAAGTGTTTGTACAGAAATTCTGTGGAGTTACACGAGTGCTGCTGAAGCATCACGAGGAGGACATTTTCTTCAGAATATGAAAGTAGAGCATAGGTAACCTGTTTTTTTTTTTTTACTTACCTCCACAGCATTATTCACCCTCAGTAAGTGTGTCAGTCGTCTTTACTGGGATGAGGATACGAGTGACTGTCTTACAGAGATGTGAAAGTTAAAGATTTCCGTTATTTTTAATCCTTTATATAGCTACACGCCTGGCTTTGCTCCGCGATGTCCTGCTTTTGGGTGCAGTAGAGGCCCAAAAGGCACCGAGTGAGCTGAGGGTGTTCAGCCCATGGACTGAGAGCTTTAATGGTGCTCTGTGCACGTACTGAGCTCAGTGGGACATCACTATTGCCAGTACACCAGCATGAAATACTTCCAACACTATGGCCAGTGTGCCAGGCTGGCATACTCTATACACTATGGCCAGTGTGCCAGGCTGACATACCCCCAATGCTATGGCCAGTGTGCCAGGCTGACATACCCCCAATGGTATGGCCAGTGTGCCAGGCTGACACCCCCCCAATGCTATAGCCAGTGTGCTAGGCTGGCATACCCCAAACACTATGGCCAGTGTGCCAGGCTGACATACCCCAAACACTATGGCCAGTGTGCCAGGCTGACATACCCCCAATGCTATGGCCAGTGTGCCAGGTTGACATACTCCCAATGCTATAGCCAGTGTGCCAGGCTGGCATACCCCAAACACTATGGCCAGTGTGCCAGGCTGACATACCCCAAACACTATGGCCAGTGTGCCAGGCGGACATACCCCCAATGCTATGGCCAGTGTGCCAGGTTGACATACCCCCAATGCTATGGCCAGTGTGCCAGGCTGACATAACCCCAACACTATGGCCAGTGTGCCAGGCTGACATACCCCCAATGCTATGGCCAGTGTGCCAGGCTGACATACCACCAATGCTATGACCAGTGTGCCAGGCTAACATACCCCCAATGCTATGGCCAGTGTGCCAGGCTAACATACCCCCAATGCTATGGCCAGTGTGCCAGGCTAACATACCCCCAATGCTATAGCCAGTGTGCCAGGCTGACATACCCCAATGCTATAGCCAGTGTGCCAGGCTGACATACCCCCAATGCTATGGCCCCCAGCTTAGCTGATATGCCCCTAGTGTTATGGTCAGTACGCCAGGCTGTCCCCTGTTGGTGTCACCATTGGTGCAGCTGTGTCACAAGCCCATCCATTTGGACCTGTACCTCTTTCTCGGTTCTGTATCTCCCTGTGCTGGCAGGTATGTACAGTAGGTCTGTGAAACGTGATAAAAAGAGGGGGATTTTTATTGTTTTTTAAGGATTCCAGGTCTCATGCCACATCTATAATCTTTTACCACCTTCCTCCCAATTAAACGCACACCCAGGGATTTTTATTTCGATATAAAATAAACTCTAATCAATAAAGCCCAGCTTAATCTTTCCTGCCGTTCCAATCTGGTTGTTTATGAAGACAGAGGTCATCTCTGTAGATTTTAATCTCATTTGAACAGGATCTTCTAACAACGTTTCTTTTGTGTGTCAATATTATGGGATGTCTCCGCTGTATAATTGTAAAGTGCTCGATATAAATGCTAATAATAATAAAAATAATAGTTATAATAAAGATTAGGATGCAGAGAGCCAACTGGCGTTATGGACAGAGACTCCCAAGGTGCTCAGCTGGCCAGCGGTGATATCTGTGCTTAGCTACAAACCACGTGCATGCCACGGTACATTCCACGGCAGCAGCATCGGGCAACGTGTGGGCAGGGAGCGTTAATCGGACCCACATTATTATTATTATTATTATATTAGTATTCAATCTCTATAAAAATTCAGCATTAGTTTAATGTCTGATCCCACTCCAGAATCTGCCTCCTCTTTGTTACGAATCCGTTCTGTCTCCAAATTCACACTCTGCCCCCCCTATCATTAAAACACAGTGAGACTGTAACCATGGCGACAGACTGACTACAGCATCCAGCGTGTGTGGGTGCAGGGGTGGGTGATGGATGCTGAGACAGGCAGTGTCACACCACTAGCCGGGCGTGTGGGGTGCGTGGGGGCAATTTACAGGTTTTAGTGGAGGCAGCTGGAGAGTGGGGGTCAATAATAATCTGGGGCTATGGAATGGGTGGTTTTTAATGTATATACATGTTTTAGGGGATGTTGAGGGCTATGGCAGGTGCAAGGGGGTATTTGGGGCGGTTTCACAGTAAATAACAGACTGCGGGAGGTATAATATATTTTAACAGTAGGGGGTTTACCAAACTATTTATTGATAACCTAGGGGAAATATACACACACAGCCATTCAATAAACTTCGAACTGTAGTGAATTTAACTCTGAGCAGTAAAGTGTAAACTGAAATAGCTGAACGTTCTATAGTGGGAGAATTTTTACAAATATACAATTTCTGTCTAAATTGCATTCAATTCGATTTTCATTTCCCTATAATCCCCTGTTTGTGGATAAACTCTGTGGGCCGGGTCCCTTTCTGAGTTTAAGACGTGATGTTGTCTGGCGGATATAGAAAGCGGGAAACTTAATGGAAATATACATAGAAAAGATAAAACGATTGCAGTGTGTGAGAGTGGGGCACAGGGCGAAATTACAGCTCTAACAGCTTTGAAATATGTAAAGCGGGGCACAGTATGAAATTAATCTTAATTTGGGTGTAAAACCTTATCTCTGGCTTTCTTTGCCCGCGATTCTGCATACTAATTAACAGCGCAGCCTATGTTGCTGCCATGTCTCGGGGTATGTTATTTGCCTGCATACATCGCTAGGCACTCCCTATTTTCTTCCCTAAAATCCAATTATTTTGTCTCCAGCACCCCATTGTAACCGGAGAGATGCGCTGCCGCCTTCTCTGTTGAATAAACCAACCTTAAATTGCAAATTTCTGCCATTCAAGGGGGAGAAAGGTGGATTTAATGTAAAAAATCCCATTAAATATTCATTGCTGGTTTTGCTGATATTTGTTAAAATTCAGTGTTGGGCTGAGGAGCGAGTTCCACTTAATGAGCAGAAAGGCTGTCAGAGGAGGGGGTGGGGGGTCTGAGGAGGGGGAGACGGATTTGGGTTAACCCTTCGACTACCAGAGCAAGGTACACATAGGCGTCTGATATTAGGTAGAAAAATAGCTGAACAGAGTTATGCAGAATGGAATAAGAGAAATACAGGGCATCTCTAGTAAAAAACAGATAAGAGAGTTTCTAAAATCACAATTGGAGAATAAAACCTTTTTTGACCTCCCCCTATAGGAGAGTACCGGAACCTTTATTCCCCCAGTATAGGAGAGTACCGTAACCTTTATTCCCCCAGTAAAGGAGAGTACCGGAACCTTGATTCCCCCAGTATAGGAGAGTACCGGAACCTTTATTCCCCCAGTATAGGAGAGTACTGGAACCTTTATTCCCCCAGTATAGGAGAGTACCGAAACCTTTATTCCCCCAGTAAAGGAGAGTACCGGAACCTTGATTCCCCCAGTATAGGAGAGTACTGGAACCTTTATTCCCCCAGTATAGGAGAGTACCGGAACCTTTATTCCCCCAGTATAGGAGAGTACCGGTGTATTGGAGAGTGCTGGAACCTCTATTCCCCCAGTATAAGAGAGTACCGGAACCTTTATTCCCCCAGTATAGGAGAGCACTGGAACCTTTATTCCCCCAGTATAGGAGAGTACCGGAACCTTTATTCCTATAGTATAGGAGAGTACCGGAACCTTTATTCCCCCAGTATAGGAGAGTACCGGATCCTTTATTCCCCCCAGTATAAGAGAGTACCGGAACCTTTATTTCCCCAGTATGGGAGAGTACAGGAACCTTTATTCCCCCAGTATAGGAAGTACTGGAACCTTTATTCCCCCAGTATAGGAAGTACTGGAACCTTTATTCCCCCAGTATAGGAGAGTACCGGAACCTTTATTCCCCCAGTATAGGAGAGTACTGTAACCTTTATTCCCCCAGTATAAGAGAGTACCGGAACCTTTATTTCCCCAGTATGGGAGAGTACAGGAACCTTTATTCCCCCAGTATAGGAGAGTACCGGAACCTTTATTCCCCCAGTATAGGAGAGTACCGGAACCTTTATTCCCCCAGTATAGGAGAGTACTGTAACCTTTATTCCCCCAGTATAAGAGAGTACCGGAACCTTTATTTCCCCAGTATGGGAGAGTACAGGAACCTTTATTCCCCCAGTATAGGAGAGTACAGGAACCTTTATTCCCCCAGTATAGGAGAGTACCGGAACCTTTATTCCCCCAGTATGGGAGAGTACTGTAACCTTTATTCCCCCAGTATAGGAGAGAACGGAAACCTTTATTCCCCCAGTATAGGAGAGTACCGGAACCTTTATTCCCCCAGTGTAGGAGAGTACCGGAACCTTTATTCCCCCAGTATAGGAGAGAACGGAAACCTTTATTCCCCCAGTGTAGGAGAGTACCGGAACCTTTATTACCCCAGTATAGGAGAGTACCGGAACCTTTATTACCCCAGTATAGGAGAGTACCGGAACCTTTATTACCCCAGTATAGGAGAGTACTGGAACCTTTATTTCCCCAGTATAGGAGAGTACCGGAACCTTTATTTCCCCAGTATAGGAAAGTACTGGATCCTTTATTCCCCCAGTATAGGAGAGAACGGAAACCTTTATTTCCCCAGTATAGGAGAGTACCGGAACCTTTATTCCCCCAGTATAGGAGAGTACCGGAACCTTTATTCCCCCAGTATAGGAGAGTACAGGAACCTTTATTCCCCCAGTATAGGAGAGTACTGGAACCTTTATTCCCCCAGTTTAGAAGAGTGCCAGACCCTTTATTCCCCCAGTATAGGAGAGTACCGGAACCTTTATTCCCCCAGTATAGGAGAGTACAGGAACCTTTATTCCCCCAGTATAGGAGAGTCCCGAAACCTTTATTTCCCCAGTTTAGAAGAGTGCCAGAACCTTTATTCCCCCAGTATAGGAGAGTAACGGAACCTTTATTCACCCAATATAGGAGAGTACAGGAACCTTTATTCCTCCAGTATAGGAGAGTATGGGAACCTTTATTCCCCCAGTATAGGAGAGTACCTCAACCTTTATTCCCCCAGTGTAGGAGAGTACAGGAACCTTTATTCCCCCAGTATAGGAGAGTACCGAAACCTTTATTCCCCCAGTGTAGAAGAGTGCCGAAACGTTTATTCCCCCAGTGTAGGAGAGTACAGGAACCTTTATTCCCCCAGTGTAGGAGAGTACCGAAACCTTTATTCCCCCAGTGTAGAAGAGTGCCGAAACGTTTATTCCCCCAGTATAGGAGAGTACCGGAACCTTTATTCCCCCAGTATAGGAGAGTACCGGAACCTTTATTACCCCAGTATAGGAGAGTACCGAAACCTTTATTCCCCCAGTGTAGAAGAGTGCCGAAACCTTTATTCCCCCAGTGTAGGAGAGTA